TGTTTTGTGAAGCACGTCAATTCTCTCCTGGGGAGCGTCTTCGTGAGCCTCTTATGGTTTCAGGATAGTTCAAATCCTATGATGTTCCGATTCAATGCTCACCGATGATCTGAGCCATGGGGCAAATTTGTTTTCCTAAGAATCTTTTTGAACATTTCGAGAGCATATGTTTGAACATTTAGAGTGCATATGAACATATATTTACGAAAGGTCGCCTCCGAGGGGATAAATCACCATGTCGAACATTGCATTTTTGTTCCTGCCTCTCGCGTTCTCTTCTCTTCCCGCTGTCCTACCTTTCGTGTCTCCCTCCTCTCAAGTTTGAGTCAAGACATACTCGTTTGACCATTCCTCGCCTTTCAGAAGTAACCAGGTCCCAGGTCTCCATTGGTCTCCATTGGTCTCCATGTGTTTCAGTTTGACTTCGTTCTCAGACAACGGGTCGCTCATGGCATCCATTACACGAAGCGACAAAAACGCGACGCATCTCTCCATGTTGCTTCCAGGAGTTTCCATTCGACGCATCGTTCTGCCAGACGCGGTTGGAACACTGGGTGGTCTCCTCTTCACTTCTGATCAGTTGGTCTCATCCGTGCCGCTCCTCGCAGGCTCTGCAAGCTCCTTTTGAAGCGCTTCGGTCCACCGTGTGCGACCGAACGCATCGGAACGTTCGGCCGAACAATGCATCGGCTCGCGGAAGGAAGGGTGAAGGTTGTAGAGGATGTGGCCATCATTTGATCAGTGGGTTTCAGGGTTGGTGGCAGAAAATCCCAAGATGTATTCTTTAGACGGAGTGTCTCCATCCAATATACCAGTGGGTTTGGAGGCCACTTCATTGTTGAACCATGGAACAGACTTGATGAAAGGGACAGTCCATTCTCCGCTCCTGTATTTGGGCCCACTCAACTCTTTGTTTCAACACATCCCTCAAGACGATGTAGACGACTGCCAATAGCGGAGGGGCCTCGGGCCACCGATTCGCATCGTGGTGTTGCGCAAGGTAAAGCTCGCACAAGAAAAAACACGGAGAACAGAGGAGGTGATCAAAGCCAAGAACTGATGACCAGCAGCACCTTAAACATAGGGGTCTCCAATAAGACCACCATACACTACTTGTGGATCTCCATTAGTTGAGCACCCTTTGAAGGTGCAGATGGTATATATATATATATATACATGTACACGTCAATTCAATAAGTTCCATGTGTGTATATATATATATTATGCATCCATGCATATACCAGGGCCTTCCAATGAGTGTCGGATTACCCTGCGCTACTGGGATCTCCTGCCAGGACACACAGACAGGATGGTCCAGGTAGCCTTATTTATGAAGAAGTGTTTAAGATGTTTTACGTTTTTAGCCGTATCCGGAGGTGTTGATTAATTTGTTGTTTATTGGATTAAACAACTTAAAGGAATACTCCACAATTCATCAGTTCTATGAATCTACATAATCTCCTTATAATAATACATACTATACACCTCCCACTCCATCCCGCTTCAACTGCGGGGCCGGTACCGAGGTACCAGCGTCTCCGGCAACTGCCGCTCCGGGCGCTTCCAGCGGTGCTGGCTGCGCTGAGCTCGGAGCTCTCCGCTCGGGGGGAAGGAACACGCGAAGCAGAAAAGTAATCGAGGCGTGTTGGAAGCTACTAGTAACAGGTGCCTTACTAGTAGTAACAAGGACGCTAGTAGTAACA